CTGCGGGCGCGGGGCGCGGCGCTGGTGGCGGCGCGGCGCGGCGGGCACATCACCTTCCACGGCCCCGGGCAGCTGCTCGCCTTCCCGGTGCTCGACCTGCGCCGCCGCCGCCTCCCGCTCCGCGCCTACGTGGCCGGGCTGGAGGCGCTGGTGCTGCGGCTGTGCCGCCGCCTCGGGCTGCGCTCGGCCCGGGCGCTGCCGCCGCCCTTCACCGGGGTCTGGATGGGCGACAGCAAGCTCTGTGCCATCGGTGAGCGGGGACGGCCCCCGGTGGCACTGCAGCCGGGAGGGACAGCGGGGGTGCCGAACGGAAGGGTCAGGGAGAGCTCAGAGCCCTGGCAGGGCCTAAAGGGGCTCCAGAGAGATGGAGATGGACTGGGGATGGAGGGACAGGACACAGGGAATGGCTTCAAATTGTCAGAATAGGTTTAGGTTTGATATTAGGAAGGAATTCCTGGCTCTGAGGGTGGTGAGCCCTGGCACAGGGTGCCCAGAGCAGCTGTGGCTGCCCCTGGATCCCTGAAAGTGTCCAAGGCCAGGCTGGATGGGGTTTGGAGCAATCTGGGATATGATGGGAGGTGTCCTTGCCCATGGAACACCTCCCAGCCCAACCCATCCTGCGATTCCCTGGGCACAGGGGCAGAGCCCTGCAGGAACCTGGATCTGTAGGCACCGGGCAGGGTGGGTGGGCACCGGGGAGCGTGCAGGGGTGGGATTGGCCTCCTGAAGAGGGGCAGCACAGTTTGGAGCCCCTGCAGCCCACCCAGCCCCCAGCACTTGGCACCCCTTGCTCGCAGGTCTGCCAGCCTGCAGCCCAGCCCCCGGCCTTGCCCCCTGCCCTTGCACCCCTCCACGTCCTGTGCCTCTTCCTGGGACCCTGCAGCCTGGACTGGGGTCCTGCAGCTCTCCCCATGGAAACCCCGGCGGTGGGAGGTGTTTGGGGGTGCAGCGCCGGGGTGGAGGGTCTGTACATGCTGCAGCCCATCTGCCCCAATTCTGGGGAGCCTGTCTGTGCGTTTCCCCGGCAGAGAGGAGCACGGCGTGCCGGGGCGGGATGCTGGCAGCGGTGTGGGCAGCGTGGTCTCTCTCAGTGTCTCCCCGCAGGGCAGTGGCGGTGCTGACGGCTGGGGGCTCTCTCCCCGCAGGTGTGCACTGCGGGAACCACATCACCTCGCACGGGCTGGCGCTGAACTGCTGCACCGACCTCTCGTGGTTCGAGCACATCGTCCCCTGCGGGCTGGAGGGCAAGGGCGTCACCTCGCTCAGCCGCGAGCTGGGCCAGCACGTCGCCGTCGGCCACGTCCTCGAGCCCTTCCTCGACTCCTTCCAGGAGGTGTTTGAGTGCACTTTGGTCTCCGCAGAAGAGCCCGGGGATTAGGATTGCCGTGCTGCCTTGGCCGGGTGTTTTGGTGCCGGGGCAGCCCCGGGGTCTCTCTTGTGAGACGAGTTCTCGTGCCTTTGCCTGTGGACTGTGGGTGGACCGTGGCACAGGGTTTCAGGCTGCTGCTGGACTGTCCAAACCTGCCCTGGGGCTGTTCTCTCCAGCCCTGTGAGTCTCCATCCCTCATCTGAGACCTCCGTGGGTGCCACTGACCATCCAAACCTGCCCTGGGGCTGTTCTCTCCAGCCCTGTGAGTCTCCATCCCTCTGTGGGTACCATGTCCCCACGTCACTTGCTGGGGAAGTACCCAAACAGGTGCTTTTGTGGGGTTTTTTTCTGCTTTTTTTTGCCCCACAAAAATTAAAGATTTGTGTGAATGCTCATGAATTCACATGAACTCACGTGGGTCATCCTTCCCTTGCTGAAAGAGGCGGATTTTATATATAAAGAGAGTTGCTGGGAACTTTGGCTGCCGATCCCTTTCTCATTTATTTACCCCAAGGCTTTATCAATGACAACCTTTTTCTCACCCTGAGCCCAGGGAAATTCTCACGTGGCAGAGATCCTGGCGCCAGGGCGGGAGGAAGGTGGCTGTAGGCACTGCTGGACAGGCCACTGGAAAAGGGGGAGGAGGGGGGGAAAGGCTCGCAAGGAGAGCAGCCACGGCTGTCGTGGATCCTGTGGGACTGCACAACATTCCAGCTGTGCAGACCTGCGGCTGTGCACGGGGTCTGTGGGGCTGCAGGAGGTGCTGCTGAAATCGCTGTCCCAGCTGCAGCAGCCTGAGCTGAGCTCGTGGGTGGGTTTGTCCCGGGCTCAGGAGCCAGCCTGAGGCTGGGGTACCCACACCCTGCCCAGAGCAGGAGCTGACCCCTCGCACAGCCCCTCGCTGCTGTCCCGAGCCTTCTCCCTGCCCCACGAGCTCTGGGGTCCCTGTGCTGCTGCCCAGCTCCGGCACTCCTTGTGAGCCCCCCGCGGGTGCCCAGCGGGGCTGGGGGGAATGGAGCAGGCTGTCCTCCGGGCAGGACGACGTGCCCGGGCAGGCTCGGTGCCGTGTCGGGGCTCGGGACCGCCGTGCCGGACGAGGAGGGACAGGAAAGCGTGGCCGGGGGAAGGCGGAGGGAGCGCCGCTCTCCCGCCCCACCGAGCCCCGCCGAGCCCCGCCGGGGCCCTGGCAGCCCCCGGGGCCGGGGACACGCCGGTGGCCGCGGCAGGTGGCTCTGCCCGGGAAGGGGAGGAGGTTGGCGGCGCTCCCAGCCCGCGGCATCCCTCCCCGGGCAGCGATGCTCAGTCGCGGCTCAGCCTGGCAGCGGCACAGAGGGCGCACGAGGTGAGTGCGAGCCCCCCGCTCCCCTGCCTGCCCTTACACCCCCCCTAAGGTGGGTACCCCCAGGTCCTGCCCCATCTGTGGGTGCCCTCCTGGGATACACGCAGATCTTGCCCCAGACTTTCCCAAATTCAGCCTACTTCTCTTCGGTCAGCAAGGCAGCCAGATCCGACCTCATGCCCGTGGGCTCGTGGCTGCTCAGCCCCTCCCTCCTCCTCCTCCTCCTCATCCTCCTCCTCCTCCTCCTCCTCGCAGCTGGGGTCTCATCCTGGAGGTGCACCCCGAGTTTAGGGTGGCCCGTTTGGGATCAGCTGCCTCTGCACGGGCAGAGCTGCGGGTGCAGCAGGCAAGGGGTGCTGGGGAGTGCTGGGGACAGGCTGGATCCCTGGGGGACAGCAGCGGGGACGGCACACGTGGGGGCTGTGTCCCATGTCCCCTCCTGGCCGTGCCTGCCCCGGCGCCCCAGCAAGCTGTGAGGGTGCACAAGGGAGCCCGGGGGGCTGGCAGAAGAACACCATGCCAAAGGAGGGATCGGCAGGTCACAGGGCGTCTGGAAGCCACAGGGAAGGGAGATCCCCGGGGAGGTTTAGGGCAGCAACCCCTCAAGGTGTGTTCACAGTGACCTGCGAGGGGCTGTGCCCACCATCCCCACACATCCCTGAGGAAAGCAGGCTTTGAACCCAGCCCTCCTGCTCCCTCGGGACCGCTGTGTCCCCACACTGTCCCCAGCCCCGGGGAGGAGAGAGGGGCAGGCAGCTGCCCCGGAGCCCTGGGAGCTTTATCTCCTCTGCGGAAGGACTGAAATCCGGGGAGAGGGCTGCTGGCACTGCAAAGGGTCTGCCCCACCCCCGCTCCGTGGCAGAGGAGCAGTGTGGGGCCGTGCAGAGCCCCGGGGGCAGTTTCACCTTGGGGCAGCCCCTGTGAGCCCGTCCTCCCTGCAGCCCGCGGGGACATGGACGGCACCAACCGCACGGAGCCGTGGCAGCGCAGCCTGCAGGCGCTGCTGGGCGCCCTGAACCAGACCCTGCACGGGGCCGTGCCCTGCCCGGGCCGGGCCCCGGCCAGCCCCGCCGCAGGAGCCACGCGTGGGGAGCACGCCAACGCCCACGCCTACATGTACATCCTGTTCGTCATGACGCTCTTCGCCGCCACCGTGGGCAGCCTCATCCTGGGATACACCCGCTCCCGCAAGGTGGACAAGCGCAGCGACCCCTACCACGTCTACATCAAGAACAGGGTCTCCATGATCTGAGCCGGCCCCGGAGGCACCGCGCTGGGCACATCCCCTCGCTCTGGGGTGCGGCAGCGCTGCTGGCCCCGGAGCTGCTGGGACCCCAAAGCTGCTGGGACCCCAAAGCTGCTGGGTCCCCAAAGCTGCTGGGACCCCGGAGCTGCTGGGACCCCCCAGAGCTGCTGGGACCCCAGAGCTGCTGGGACCCCGGAGCTGCTGAGAACCCCAGAGCTGCTGGGAGCCCCTCAGAGCTGCTGGGAACCCTGTAGAGCTGCCGGGAGCCCCCAAAGTTGCTGAAACCCCCAGAGCTGCTGGAACCCTGTAGCGGAGCTGCTGGGACCCCCAAAGCTGCTGGGACCCCGGAGCTGCTGAGAACCCCAGAGCTGCTGGGAGCTCCCAAAGCTGCTGAGATCCCCAGAGCTGCTGAGACCCCAGAGCTGCTGGGTCCCCGGAGCTGCTGGGAGCCCCTCAGAGCTGCTGGGACCCCGGAGCTGCTGGGTCCCCGGAGCTGCTGGGAGCCCCTCAGAGCTGCTGGGACCCCGGAGCTGCTGGGTCCCCGGAGCTGCTGGGAGCCCCTCAGAGCTGCTGGGACCCCGGAGCTGCTGGGTCCCCGGAGCTGCTGGGAGCCCCTCAGAGCTGCTGGGACCCCGGAGCTGCTGGGTCCCCGGAGCTGCTGGGAGCCCCTCAGAGCTGCTGGGACCCCGGAGCTGCTGGGTCCCCGGAGCTGCTGGGAGCCCCTCAGAGCTGCTGGGCCCCCGGAGCTGCTGGGTCCCCAAAGCTGCTGGGAGCCCAGAGCTGCTGAGAACCCTGTAGAGCTGCCGGGAGCCCCCAAAGCTGCTGGGAACCCCCCAAAGTTGCTGGAACCCACCAGAGCTCAGTCATGGAGGAGCTCAGTCCTGGCTGAGCAGTGCCAGGATGCCCTGGCTGGCAGGAGCTGGAAGAATGTGAGCTGCAAGCAGGTGCTGGTCCTGCAGACCCACCCGGGCTCCACCTGGGCTGGCGGGGCAGCTCCTTTCCCACCGTGGTCTGCGGGGCTGGCAGGAGCCTTCAAGGAGAGTATTTCCCCATCTCCCTGCTCAGATCACCCTCCCTGGGCTGCCAGCAGCTGTGACCGTGCTTAGGGGGTTTTTTGGGTGCTGAGACGCTGTGATGTTTGAGCTGGGCTGGGCCCTGCTGCTCTGGCAGGGAATTAAAGGGAATTAAAGGAGGTGCTGGGCTCGGGGCACTCGTGTTTGCTTCTCCTCCGAGCAGAGCCTGAGGCGATCCCTGGGGCACGGCTCTGTGCCAGAGCCAGGGGATGCTGCAGGGATAACCTGTGCCTGCATGCTGCCAGGGGGGATTCGGGGGCAGCATTCCCGTGGCATCACAGCTCTTAGATGGGACAAACCCCCGGGATGGGACAAATCCCCGGGATGGAGCGGGATGGGACAAACCCCCGGGATGGAGCGGGATGGGACAAACCCCCGGGATGGAGCGGGATGGGACAAAACTCCGCGATAGGACAAAACCCCCTGGGATGGAACAAACCCCCTGGGATGGAGCGGGATGGGACAAACCCCCGGGATGGAGCGGGATGGGACAACCCCCGGGTTGGAGGGGGACAAAACAAATCCCCAGGATGGAGCAGGATGGGACACATCCCCGGGATGGAGCGGGATGGAGCAGGATGGGACAATCCCCGGGGATGGGACATATCCCCGTGCTGGAGCGAGCATTCCCAGCCGGAGGCTCTGTCCCTGTGTCCCTGTGTCCCTGTGTTCCTGTGTCCCTCTGTCCCTGCTGTGCGGGCAGCGCTGCCGGAGCCGCGGGCACGCTGCGGGCCTGGCCGGAGGTCTGTGGCTCCAGGCATCTCCCAAGGCCTCTCCAGGCTCCGGATGGCGATGCCGGGCTCTTTCCTGCTTCCTTCCTGCTGTCAGCTGTAGCTTTGGCCTTTTGTACCGCCGGTCCCAAATGCGTTTTCCATGGGGTGAGGGTGCAGCGGAGGACGGGAAGGGGATGTTCTGGGTCCTGCTGGGCTCCTTGGCTTTGGGAAGCTGGCTGCCTTTGGAGCTGGCCCGTGGGGTGGCCGGTGTCCAGTAAACGTCCCTGTCCTTGAGAACAGGCTGTGGGGCAGCGCCGGTGTCCCTCCCGCACGTCCCAACCTGCTCATAATGGCATAATGAGCGCCTTTAATTGCAGCTAGATTAGCTGGCCCACGGGGCCTTTCCGCCTGCATTCCAAGGTTAAGCACAGTTGCAATCCTGAGCCCGAGCAGTGACGCCAAGCCCTAATCCAAGGAATAATAGCGGCTGCGAGTGTGTTTGGGGCAGGGCTGGGAGCCTTGGCAGCGGGGCAGGGCCGGGTCCCGCTGTGCCTGCCCTGGCCTGGGTGCAAAGCGGGCCAGCGGCCGTGGGGTGATCCCAGGGCATTCCCGAGCCAGGCAGGGCTCTCTGGGCACAGCTGTCCTGGGGCACCTGGCCCGAGCCCGAGCGGGAAGCGGCTCCAGAGGCTTCGCTCCGTTTATCCGGCACCTGCAGTTTGGGAAAGGGAAACAAACCTTCACCTGCAAATAAAGCAGGGAATGGGGCCAGGAGGGACAGGCACTCTGTGCTGATCCTTTTCCTCCACCTCCCCGGGGGTTGTCCTCCTCCACACCAGCCCTTCCAGCGGGATGAGCCGTGGAGCAGCCAGGGCCAGGATGTGGGGCCATGGGATGGGGGCTGGGTGGTGAGCGTGGTACCCCAAAATGCCCCCAGCGGGGTGGAATTCTTGCTTTTCCCACTTCTGGGAGAGAGGGATGCATCTGGTGACTCCGGAATCTCTTCTGATGCTGCGACAAGGGGGAAAACCCTATTGAAGGACAGCACATAGCAAAAATATAAAAATTTGGGGGGGAAAAAAAATGCTGCTCATCCCTAATCTGGAAGATTGCGAGGGTGAAAATCCCTCCTGCGAGACACAGCTGCTGCAGCAGTGGTTACAGTGATCCATTGGCAGCTCCACTGTCCATCCAGTGGAGAAAAAATCTGGTAATTTCGGACCAGAGCCTGCGGCGGGGAGTCCGGCTGGTGCCACCAGGCTGGGTGACAAGATGCCAGTGCCACCTTGTGGCAGCTGCCTCGGGGTCCCGGTGTCACACGCCCGGGTCACCCCGGCTCCCGCCTGGCTGGTGCCCGTGGCATCCGCGGGCTGGGGCAGCTTGAGAAGCATCCTCAGCAGCAGACTGGGCTGCTCCCAGGGCTAGGGAAGCAGGGATGTGTGAGGGAAGGATGGATTTGGGAGCCCCCTGAAACGGGTTTGCTTCAGGAGCCGGGGGAAGGGTTCTGCAGCTCTCTGGGTGCTCATGCCAGGGCTCAGGGATTCTCCCCAGGAGCAGGGGATCCTGGCCAGGCTCACAGGGCTTGGTCAGCAGCAAGGAGAGGCTCAGCACAGAAGGGCTGGCATGTAGGAACGTGCCCTCTGTTGACCGAGTGACAAAGCTGTCCTTTGTCCCCTTAAAAGGGAAAGAAGCCCAGAAGTTTTTCTCCTCGATTAGGTGAAAAGCCACCTCTTAGGACCTTGGGGACTTCGCCTCAAACTTAAGGACAGCCAATCGGACAGGAGCCAAAAAGTCCCGCCTGGGCAATTAACCAGAAAAAGGAGTGAACAAAGAAACGAATCACTTCTGCAAAATGTTTTACCAGAAACAAAAACCTTTTGCACCCGACTCAGTTTTTCTCTTTGTTATTTTGCCTTTAATAAACCTTTTTGTTGCCAACACTGCAGCAGAAGCCATCCTGCTAATTTTGATGCCTCCAAAAGTAACTGAACTCTCTTAAGTGTATTAAAGACCCCCAAAAGCTTATAGAAACTAACTCAAAACAACTGCTGTAACACTGGGAGTGTGCCTGTCTTGGCTGAACCCCCACATCCAGCTGGGCAAATTGTGGCTGGCTGCATTTGGGGTTGAACCAGTGCAGCTAGGAACAAACACCAGGCTCCTGGGAGGCCGGTTCATTGGAGACTTCTTGTGCTGGCACACAGCAGTGGATCACGGGTCAGAGGGAGTCTGGAAAGAGATATGGAAGCGCGTGGGGAGCTGGGGCTGCCCTTGGCGCAGCGGATCCGTGGCTGGGCTGTGGGGGAACGGTGGGAGCCTGTTCTGGGGCTGCTCTGAGGGGAGGCACGAGGGAAGTGGCAGCGTGGGCACGGGCTGCTGGCTCCTGCTGCCTGGGAAAGGCTGGCATGTCGGAGCCCAGGACGTCCCTCTGGCTGCCTGGATGGCTCAGAGCCCTGGCAGGGCCTTGGAGACCCTGGTGTGCAGCCAGAGACCCCTGTGGCTTTGAGCTCAACCCACGGAGCAAATTGCCAACTTTATGTGAAGAATTACAAGGCACAAAGGTTTCAGTAGCATAACAGCAGTTGTCACAGGGTGAAAGGTGGAATTTTGAAGAATTTGACTACGGGGGTCTAGGGACAAGATGGAGGGATTTGGGCATTGTCCTGTCCTTCTCCCTTCTTCTTCCCAGCCTCCATCTTCTTGGTGATGGTGGCACTTTGGGATTGGTGTGGAGTAGAAAGTCCCTGTCTAACACAGGTGATAGGTATTGGAACACAGCTGTAAATATGGAATACCTAGTTTGCAGTATAAAAGACAACACCAGCCCTATGGGAGGGCAGTGTGCCTCGTACCGACCTGCAGAGCAGATCTTGGCAGGCCAGACAGAAAATGCTTTAGACAAAAAATAATAAACAACCTTGAGAACGACAGCTGAAGACTCCTGATCTCTTCTTCGACAGCTGGACTGGGGAAAAGAGCTTTTAACACACCTTGGGATGGTCTCAACCAGAGGGAGCACGAGGGTGGCACAGCCTGGCTGAGCAGGGCAGCCGTGCTCCAGGGAGCTGCATTCCCTCCTGCGAGCCCTGCCACGCTCCCCACCGGCCCTGGCGGCTCCCTGCACACGAGCTGCTGGCTGCCAGCAGCCTGGCAGCCCTTCTCCTGGCAGCCTGGCTCCATCCCTGCCTGGCAGCCCTTCTCCTGGCAGCCCTTCTCCTGGCAGCCTGGCTGTGGGCCCTGGGTGCTGCTGCTGCTCCCTGGGCTGTGGCACCACGGGGAAAACACAAAGACCTTGGGTTTAATTTCCCTGGGGCAAGGTGATCAGCTTTAAACATTCTTCTAGAGGCTGATAAACCCTCAGATACTCTGGGCTTTGCTGCCATCTCCCAGCAGGGAGGCCAGCACAGCCAATCTCCACCAGTGGATCTCCTCCCATCATCTTTTCCCATGGCTGCCCTGCTCTGGAGCTGCTCAGAGCATCTGCCAGGGCTGCCTTGGAGACAGACATCCAAAGCTTTCTCACATTTGGGAAGTGACCATC